AGAACTACCTAGTTGTCACATTGGGTGGGTGTGGGGTTTTGTGCTTGTGAGTGGGCACTTTATTTTGCAAAATGAGATGTCAGTTTTATATATATATATATATGGGTAATGTTTTTCTAAGGTGACACCTTAGATTCCCACCTAAGAACGCGGCCTTAAATCACATCATTCCCTAACTTTTTTTTGCGATCCGCTCCGTTGAACTTGATCTACACGTTCTTAAACCTAAGCACATCAATTTTGGGGTAAACCCGTCGTGTTTTGACCCTTCGTTGAGCCGTGCAAAAAGTTCTATTCATTCAAAACCATTAAAATTGCGGTGAGTGAATGAAGGGTTAAAACACGACGGATTCATCCCAAAATTGGTGTATTTGGGTTTAAGAACGTGTAGATCAAGTTCAACGGAGTGGATTGCAAAAAAAAAGGGAATGATGTGATTTTAGACCGTGTCCTTAGGTGAGAATCTAAGGTGTCACCTTAGGAAAACATGTCCATATATATATATATATATATATATATATATATATATATATATGAAGCAGAAGAGAAATATGGATATGTTTGCGTACCAAGCACAAAATTTATGCTTGGTAGTGAGCGTGCCATTTATCCTTTCACTCATTTAAATGGGGAAAATCCCACATTCATATGGGTTGACTGTGGTCCCCCCATTTGAATGAGTCGTATGAGAATAAGACACCTCACTATCAAGCACAAAATTGTGTTTTCGGCTACAGCATACTCATTTTTCTTTTATATTATATATATATATATATATATATATATATATATATTATATAATATATATATATATATATATATATATATTATGAAAAATATGTTACTAAGAAGGCAACTTAGATTCAATCTAAAGATGCATCTCTTGATGCATAGGTTAGACTATTCCATTGGATGATCCACTGCATTTATCATGATCTAAATGTCTCAAAACATCTATAAAAAATCATGACATTTCAATATTTCTAACACATTTTTTCTTTTTTTAGTTGTATTATAATAAAACAGTTAATTTTACGATCAGTTGATGCATGAGTAATTATAACCCTATCTAATTTTTTGTTCATATATCATCTAAAACATATAGATCCAAATGAATAGAGTGGATCAAATACATTGATTGCATATAACGTAGTTTGAAGAAGCATCTGTAGACTGAATTCTAAGGTGCCTCCTTAGTAACATTTTTTCCCATATTTGTTTGTGTGTGTAAGTATATGTATATGCACCCGACACACACGAGAGTGGCTGGTCATTGACCATGTCGTTATTAATTTTCATCTCTAAGAACAGAGTCAATTTTTAGATTAGCAACCTGTTTTAGCTTTCAAAGGTTAATAAAAGTCATATTTCTCTAACTTTAGTCTGTACCAAAATTTCATGATCCTTCTAGCTTAGAGTATATATAAGACGAACATTCAAATCACAGACAATAGTAAGACTCCCTTGAAATGAGTTTCTGAATCATAAAAAACCCGAGAGGAGTCTATTAGTGTTCTAAACTAAAACGAACATTATATTGCTTCTAATGTCTCAGAATATTTCGTTAGTAAAACCTAATAGTTTATATTTTCGAGCATAACAATCATATTAGCAGACTGAATGTTAGGGTTATCTATATTCGAGATTTTGTTGCATTGATTAACTCATTTTTAAAGTGTACTCGGTGACAGAAGCTTTACAGGATGAGGCAACAAATAATTGAGCACCCAGTAGCTCTAACATCAGACATTAGCAGCAACCAAATGGGAACAAAACTAAACTTGTTCCAAAGGCCAAAATTTCCTCATGTAAATTCTCCACCCAACCTCAGAAACTACATTTCAACTAAAATCAAACCCCTATTTTCCACTCCCTTCTCCTAAGATCAATATCTAATAGACAAATAGCAATAATAGAGCAAATTCTTACCGAGGATTGTAAACCCCGGAGCAAAATCAAGTGCAAATCACCAATATCATTGAGATAACGACGATTGATGCTTCAGGGAGTGATATCGCTTCGATCTACGTAGTCTGGGGCTAATCGAGAGCTACAGGTGAAGGAAAAAGGAAAATGAGGAAAAGGAAAGAAATTGAGATGAGAGGGGGCAAGCAAAGTAA